CTGAAAAAAAGGAGGGAGGGTTTGGGGTTTTTAATTACCTTCTGATATGATGCCCTTGCTATTTTCGTATATGGTCTACAATACTTGAGTTCCTTGGTCATATGTTGGGCAATCGCAGGATAGGTGGCTGATGAGATTTGGGTGTGACAGGGTATTTGGGTGATAAGAGAAGAAAGGAGCTTATTCTCTCATCTCCTTAGCTAACTTGTGCATTATATGGAAAGAGAGGAACGATGAGCTTTCCAGGATGTTATTTCCCTCTTTTATATAATCAGGGACCTATTGTTTTTGTTTCTTTTTTAGAGGGAACCCTATTAGTGGTGATGAGGACTAGGGAGTTACTTCCTTGGTCCCTGTTTATATAATTGTTTCTTCTTTAGAAGGAAAAAAAAACTTGCTCTGGGAAAGAGCAAGTTTGGACTGCATGCTTGAAGCAAATCTTTTGTGTTGAGCATGTCAAGAAGAACAGGCCAAACAAAAACCTCATGGTACAAGAACTGTTAATCTTCTGTTGACCTTAAAGAAAGCATTGGTGGACTCACATTTTTGCTAGTAGAACTGTCAGTGATGTAGGTAAAAGAAAAAGATTCATAGGTTTAAATATTCGATGAAATGAGGTCCAAACTCGCTTATTAAGGTTTGGGAAAAAAGAAAAAAAAAAGGCTCAAGGATGTGAAGGTAATGACATTAGTTGTTTCTTGGTTGTTAGGACAAATATTGAAATTCATACGCTCAAGGATGTGAAGGTAATGACATTAGTTGTTTCTTGGTTGTTAGGACAAATATTGAAAGTCATACTCGTGCACACCTAAAGATATGTTTGAACTCTTTTCTTCTGATTTATTTTGGATAAAAGAGAAAATTTGAACTTGAACTGGTATGAAGTAAAGAAAAAAAGAACCATGAATTGATTGGCCTAACTTGCTTATTGAGAGCATTATGTAATGTCCAGTTTAGTTACTGTGGGGTGTTCACCTCTAGGAAAATTGTACTTGTCTCTTTTTCCCCTCTGACGAGAACCCTTCACCTTCTCTTTATATTTGTTTCTGGTTCTATCCATCCTTAAATAAAATGTCATTATGTGTTTATACGGTCCTCTAGTTCTCATAAAGTGAAGTGCATGCTTTTTATTTTTGCATAAAATGTCCATATTTTTGCATATAAGCAAACCTATATGTGGTGAAGCTTTTGTTATTGTTGTCTTTTTTCTTTCCTCCATGTGTTCGAGCTAGTTTTGAACCCTATTTTCTATTTTGTGAAGGAAATGGAATTCCAAAGGTTGTGAACGTTGAGGTGCATGGGGAATTGATTGAGGGAAATTATATTAGGGGTCATGCGGAGGTTGCATGGTGTGGTGGGACTCCTGGAAAAGGTGTTGCAAGGTGAGAATACGTAATCCTAGTTTTTTGAAGTTTCTGTCACTTGCATGGATGTGGCCTTTCTTAGATGTAATATAAATTTGAATTAATTTGCCTTCTTAAAATTTGGTATAAATTTAATGTTTTTAGATATCTTATCTAATAATCAGAATAGAAAACAATAGAATAACTAGGATCAAACCTAGGATTACATGTGAGATTTGATTGCATCACTTTTTGTTTAAATAAAAAAGTAATAAATGTATTAACAGTGCACCAAAGGGGTGCAACCCATGTACAAAATGAATTTACATATTAATCAAGCAGTCAATAATATACCAAAAATCATCCACCCTACACAATTCATGCCCTAACAATAAAGACCCAAAACAAATGGAACCATTTATCTCTAATTTTTATGATGTCACTTTCAGTACCCTCAAAAGCCCTCCTATTTCTTTTCTTCCAAATAATCCACCAAACAGTCAAAGGAATTAAACTAGTAACTTTGTTCTTTTTTCTTAAACCCTCCCAGGCCCACAATTTCTCCCTAATAGACCCAGCCATAACCCACTTTATCCCCAAGAGGCTAAAAATCATAGTCCAGATTTCCTGGAAAGCCAGACCTAAAACCAGAAGATGATTGAGATTTGATTGCATCACACAACTATGATATCGAGAAAATTGCCTTGTTAATTAACTCAAAGCTTGATGTCCGAAAGTAGAGCTTAGATAGGAATCCCAATCCAACCTTAACTATGGAATTCTAATAGGAAGCTTGACTTATAGAAAATTTAAGTTAAAAAAAAAATCTTGAGTACTACAAAAATTATTACAATAGACTTTTAAATGGTACAATGATTGTAGCTTCAAAAGAAATGTAATTCCTAATTTATTTAAAAAATCTAGGATAGCTCCATTTTGCATCATTCTCTCAATTGAGGAGACTTTATGATGTAGCACGGTGAAATATGGTTTTGAAAGATAGAGTAAAAGAAAAGATAAATCCAATCCATAACTATGGAGATTGGTCATAAACACAATCACAAGGTTGTCAAAACCACAATCATGGGTGGACACTTTAATCAATAGGAGTTATCAATAGATTCTGTTAATAGGGAGCCTCTTGAAAATAATAATGAAACCAATCTATATATAAGGTCTTTACATTGCCTAGTATGAGTGGAAATTTTGAGTAATTTGCCAGCTTGTTCCTTAACCATATTTCAGATTCTTCCACAATAGAGTAGATATACTAATTGGCCTATAAATCTTTTGTACATGAGTGACGCCCCTTTCGCGCGAAGATATTAATATATTTCATACTTTTATTTTTAAAAAAGTCTTCCACGACAGAGTTAACAAAGTCTATCATTTTTTCTATTTCATTTTCCATTCATGTTGGCCATTTTACAACAATATCATTAGCCTTAGTTGCCATTTTACCAACTAAGCTAGTTGGAAAACGAAAGGCATCATATGCTAATTCGAAAATTGATTTGAACAACTTTAGGAACCCCTTGGGAGGTGGATCAACTGGTTTAGATGAAAACATATCGTCAAACCTGGTTGGAAAAGGGAAAGAGAAAAAAGATTTGAATAAGTTCACTACTAAGTTGTGTTCACATGGGGGGTTTTTTGTTGGCCTTGAGTAAATAGAGGATGCTGATGTTCTGATAGTTGACTTGCTTGATGATGGGGTTGGAGATCGGATGGTGATGTGTGGAGATGTGGCCTTGGTGGTGGTGATGCAATGGTTTTGCTATCTTGCCTGCAATGAATGATGTGATTTTTGGTTGGTTTCTGTGGTGGGGCTTTGAGTGCAGGCACAATTGAGGTGATGTTTGTGGACCAACAATTGTGGGTGATTTAAGATGGCAACTAATAGTCTTCTTGTTTTTCTTTTGGGTATTCCTAGATGGGTGGGATCATCAGTTATGTTTGTATAGGGTTAGGAGTTGTACAAACTTTTTTTAGATGGGATGGTAAGTGAAGTGTGTAGGTAGTTTGAGAGTTGAAAAGGAGGTTAAGAGTAACACTTATTTAGGCTTGTTTATCAAGTATCCCAATATACCATGTCTTTGTTAAAGGTAAAGTGGGAGTGATTGAGTAGTTAGCAGGAGTGATGATAGGCTTTTATGGCCAGGGAGTGGAGAAGAGCGTTGAAATCACTTACTAAAGTGGGAGGGATGTCGTAAGTCTGGAACTCTTGGAGGTTTGGGTATCGGGAATCTAAAGCTAGAAATTTGTCATTATTTGTTTGGTTATGGTGTTTTTAGCAAGAACTTGGTTTCTTGTGGCGTAAAGTGATAAAAAGTATTCATGGGGTTTTGTGGAATGTATGGGATGCAATTTCCAAGAGATTCGCGCAACACAAAAACCGATGGAAAGCCATGTCTAGCTTGTTACACCTTTACATTCCGCTTACTAGATGTCGTGTGGGGATGACTCCAAAGTTTTGTTTTCGGGGAATCATTGTAGGGGTGACCACCCCTAAGTACTCAATTTCCACACTTGTTTTGCCTATCCTCATGCCATAAAGCCAAACTAACCAGTTCTTTAGCATCACCCATTGTTGTAAATTGGAACTTCCATATTTTTCACAGTTTGAATGATAGAGAGACAAGAGAACTTCTTACCATGCTGAGCTTATTAAGGACTCTTTAGCCGTCCCAACAACCTCATTACAGGTCTTGGAGCCTATAATCTTCGGATACGTAGAATTGTAAGTCATTTCTAGACTATTTAACTAGATATTCTGATTGTTACCAAGGCATTCTGGCAAGTCAAGATTCCTTCTAAGATGAAGGTGCTAGTATGTACTGCAATTCTTAACTGGTCAAACACCAACAATTCTCTTGCAAGTTTGTAGGCCTAATCGAACTTGGTCTCTAGATATATCTGTGGTCTGTTATAAAGGAGGGGAGACATGTTGTCCCCAATGTGAAGTGGCGTGGAAGTCATAGGTAAAGTTGTTTGACACATTTATCCTACCCTAGATGAACCCTCCATAATTGGAATGCTTCATGAAATCCAATATTGATCGTATAGGGGTGTAGAAGAAAGCAAGGTGCTTATGGTAAGGAGCTTCTTTTGTTAGTTTCCAGGCAATTTGGTTGGAAAGAAGCTACCATATTTTATAGTCGATTGCTCCGGGGTATGTACTATGGAAGAAAGAAGCTTTTTTGGCTTCCTTATGGGTCAACACACATGGGAAAGTCTTTGACATTTCCCGTACTTTTGCCTACAAGAATTGGGATGCAATAACCACATCATTATCTGTCATTCTATTCTATCTTTTTTGATATAGCTCTACTTTCTTGTTTTGTTTTTTGATAGTTCTCTCTTCAGTTGGATTTCTTATTTGCTATTTTTGTTTAATTCCCCATTTAGAAAGTACACTTTTTTGAGGTTGCTAAGGGACTCTATAATTTCTTTACTTTTTGTTAAAATATTTTAGTTTCAAATGGGTAGGATCTGTACATGTGTATGGTTAAGAACATTTTTGGGTATAGGAACTGCTAATTTTGAGGTTGAATGATGTAAGACAAGCTTTGGTCAAGCGCTTATTGTGTGAGTTGGAGTAAATTTAGGACTCTTAGATGCCTTATGTAAGAATTGGAATAAAAACATAAATATAATTAGGAGTTACACTTAGGAGTGCTTAAGCATAATACCTTACTTAAGGTGAGATTTTCTTAAATATTCCAGTTAAGATTTGATTGCATGACACAAACCAAGATATTCATTGAACTTTCATGATAATGTATTTGTGGAAGAATGAGTTGTTGTATATTCCAATTCAATATGATGATCCTATATATACAAGTGAATAGTAGCAATAAAAGGAACAATATTGATTACAAATATTACTAATGTACTCTTTACTCCTAATGAAGCTCTAAGTATACTTTTTAATACTCTCCTTTAGGCTGGTGAATAGATATTATCCATTCCATACTTGACAAAGACCGTCAAAATACATGATTACTTAATCTTCTAGTCAAAACATCGTTAAGTTAGGAAGTGCTTGGTGTATAGAGTACAAATTAATTCACTATCCAACTTCTCTTTGATGAAGTGCCTGTCTACTTCAATATGTTTAGTTCTATCATTTACTGAATTGTTACAAATCGCTGATTGATTATCACAATAGAGTCTCATAGGTCCAAGCCATCGAATCTTCAAATATTCTAAAATTATCTTCAACCATAGAAGTTTACACATATATTGGGCCATAGCTGTGAACTCTTATTCTGCCCTAACTGCTATATTCTATTTGTTACTTCTAAGTAATTACATTCCCTCTAGGAAAGATATAATATCCACAGATAGATGTCCTGTCAATTGATGATCCAACATAGTTTGCTTTAGTGTAAGCTACTTGTAGGTGCATTGCTTTATGTTTGTGCATGAATTGACTCACAACACTAACAATACATGCAATGCTTGCTTTGACATGGCATGTGACAGTATATCAATTTTTCTACTATTCTCTGGAACATTTCCCTCACCTTATTTGAGTCTCTTTCAACTAGCTTTAGTTTATGATTAGGATCAGTAGGCGTGCTTGCTGGCATGCATGTGAGTTTGCTATTTTACTTTTAACAGATTCCAGACATTTTTGTTAGAAAATGAATATTATTGACTTCGAATAGGCTATTTCTATTTTAAAGAAATATCTTAATTTAGCCAATTCTTTAATCTCAAATTGTCCATTAAGACATTGTTTGAGAAATACTTCTTTCTCTTCATCGTTTTCTATAGTAATTATGTCATCTCTATATATCAGAAGGGCAATGACTTCCCCTAACTCTAAGTGCTTAATGAATAGGGTGTTGTTTCCCTAATTCTTTCTAAAACCCTTAGGTGCTATTTATGTTGCAAATTTACCAAACCATGTCCAAGAAGACTATATAAGCCCATATAATACATTTTTTAATTTGCATACTTTGTTCGGCTTTGCTCCCTTAGTGAACCTGAGAGGAATCTCATTGTTTGAATGCATTCTTCACATCAAATGGGTGCAATTGCCGATCGAAGTTAACAACTAAGAATAGTGAGGTATGTACCGTGTTCATCTTTGCAAATGGTACACATAGGTCTTGGTAATAAATTACCTATGCGTAGATATACCCTTTAATTACCAATCTTCCCTTGTATTTCTCTGTTATTCCATCAACCTGTATTTAATTGTGAATACCCATTTGCAACCTACTAGTCTTTTTTCTTTGGCAAGTTTGCTAGTTCTTATGTATGATTCTTTTCCAGTACATGCATTTTAATATTCATAGTTTTTTTTCATTCCTTATTGGTTAAAGTCTCAAATAATATTTTGAGAATAAATACTGTATTTAGTCTCATAAGAAATTTTTTGTGAGATGGAGAACATTTTTTAAGGGATGTAAAATTTGAGATAGGATAGAGGTGATGCTTAATTCATTCTCTTATCCCCTTTTTAAGTGCAATAGGTATGTCCATATTAAAATAAATAGGGTTCTCAGAGCTTACCTCATTTCTAGTTGTCGACTCAAATTCTTGAACTTGTTTTGGATTAGATTTTAGGTTCTTCCTTCTCAAATACCGTGGGTTTGTTTTGGGCTAAAGTTCAAGCTTATTTTCTTCTGGATGAGTTTAATTTCACTTTGCGGGTACTAGTTTTTTGTTGGAATGACTGTTATAGAGGGTGTATTTTTTTATAGGTAATGGCAGATTAAAAAAGGGGTCGAAAGAGGGTTGATTCACCTTATCTTCTTAGATTAGAAGACTCCCCGTGAAGATAATGTTTATCGAAGACATTTTTCTCAACAAATGTGACATCAGCAAATACTAAGAATTGTTTGGTCTGAGACGCTAGCATTTGTATCTTTTTTGGGTGGATGAGTATCGTAACAAAAACACACCGAGTGGCTCTAGGATTAAGTTTTTCCTCTTTGTGACTGATGTATGTGAATGTAAGCAACACGCCTAAAGACCCGGGCAACAAGATTTTTGGATATTCGCACCTCAAGGAAAAAGGAGGCAAAAACTTCCATAGGACTGATACTTGCGATGGTAATTGGATTCTTAGGTAGGCAGCAGTTAATACAGCTTCCCCCAGTATTGTTTAGTAACATGGTTTTGAATAAAAAGACTCGAATAATGGTAAACAAGTTGCTGTTTTTTCATTATGTTATTCCATTTTATTGTGGAGTATAGACACAGAAGACTCATAAATAATTCATTCTTTTTAAAAGAGGGATGATAATTTCTGGTCAAAGTAATTTCGGATAATATTAGTTCACAAGCATTTAATTTTAACTCTATGTTGTATATGAGTCATAGTGTAAAATTTTGGAAGAATATGGCTGACTTCATCTTTTGACTTCAATAAAAAAGCCAAGTCATTCGAGTACAATAATCAATGAAGGAGTAAATCATTGAGCCGTAGAAATATTTGGAATATTTGAGGGACCCAAATGTCACTATGAATCAAGGTGAAAGGGAAGCTACTTCCTTTATTAGTAGGGGAAGAAATTACACGTTAGTGTTTTGTCAGGTCACGTACATCCCAATGTAATTTTTCATTATCAGAATTAAAAAGCAAAGCATCTCAGGTCTTCGGTGATATGGCTATAATTTGTCTATTGTGTTGGTGGAGAGTGCGGTACGTAGTACCTTGGGTCTATCTAGGACGTATAACTTGTCTCGATTCTCAGCACATCCAATCATCCTCCTCGAGATCTAGTCTGGAAGTTACTGTAAAAAGACGAATAATTTTGCAATTAAAGTTTTGGGATAATGTAATTACTGATAAAGGGTTTGTGCATAGCAGAGAAACATGGAGTATATCGGTAAGAATGAAGTGAGGAATGAGTTTTATGCTCCTGCTGCTATGGTTGATGAACCATTGGCAGTGAAAATTTTTCTATTGCTGGAACACGGAGTATATATATTTAAAAAACATGGATGTGTTTGTCATATGGTTAATTGCTCTTGTGTCCACGATCAATAATATGCAGAAGGTTTCACCTAAGCATTTAAACTCTGAAAAAAGGAAATATACCTGAATGTGCTATTAGAACTGTACTTTGGATTTTTCAAATTGCTCAAATCAGTCATGTAATTACTCAATCTCTGCTTTAAAATCACAGGTCTCTTTATTGTGCTACTATCCCTGATTCTTCTTGCGTCCTAAATCCTTACTAGAGACGGTCAGCTTTCCATAAAGTGAAACTTTCAAGATTTCTCCCTGGTTTACCTTGATTTATTGCAGAAGGTACACAAGAGATTTTCTCTATTCTCCCGGCTGCTACCCAAGGTCTCCCTGTGATTTAGTTCCTTTCTCAGTTGACATGGTTTGGTACTTTTAGTTGCCATTGTGGAGCTATCATTTATGCGGGATTCAAGCATAGCTCTTCTTCTACTTTCTTTTGCACTAATTAGGGATATCACCTATTCAGAGATGACGTCTTTTCCTTCTCTAGAATCTGGATTCTCAACTGATCATATTCTTCATCGAGTCCTGCTATAAATTGGTTGGCTCAGTCTTTCCCAACAAATCTTTTAAAGGTTGTCGTATCTTTGTTGCTTTTTGTAATAATACTTTAGTACTGATTAAGTTCCTGCCACAAAACTTTCAGAAGGTTCGCATATTCTCTGACTGTCTTATTGCTCTATTTAGTTGTCCAGGTCTTGACAGTCTGGTGATACATTTGAGCTGTATATTTTCCCTGACAATTTGTTTCTCGGATCAAATCTCATATCTCCTTTACTGTAGGCAGACATATAATTCGTTTACTGATCTTTGGTGCTACTGAGTTCCAGAGCCACATCCATGGCTCAAAATTGGGATCTCCTAGCCGTGGTCTACCATGGAGAAGACTTAGCTTTTGCTTGCTCTTGAGAGTGGTTTGAATTAGTTGTCACCAACTCAAGTTATTTTTATTATTGAACCGGTAGACAGTTTGAATTCACTGTTGTTTTTGCTGTAGTTGCTCATGGGAAAGTTTGTGTCGGTGGATTGAGATGTAATCTTGGACATCTTGCAAAAACTTGAGGCAATTAAGACCAATCAACGGTGAGAAAAAATAGAAATTACTGGCTTATGACTGTTGCGTGGTTGAGTGGTGGCTGTGTAGCCTGGATCCAGCTGGAGGTAGACATGTGATAGGGAGCAAATGCAACTGGCAGTTGGAAACGTAATGCACAAGCTGGTGTGCGGACTTTTTCTAGCTGGATAGTAGCTGTGCACAGGGTGGCTGGACAGTGCAGCACAAGGGAAGAGTGGGTAGGGTCTTGCCAGAGAGGACTTGGACATGTGGTTCAAGAAGTCTGGAGGCACTGCTGAGGTGTGG